TGGGAACAATAAGTAGAGGATAAAATATAATTACACTCTTCATCAGAGTAAAGTGCACTTTAAAATCATCATCTTTGTCTCTTGACAGGAAAGACTGGGGAATAGAGAATTTTATATCACCAACTTTGCTCCGGAACATGCGAGGCAAAGATATAAAAAAAGCCATTAGTTTCCATATGAAGAGGAATCAGAGCTTACTGGAGCCCAGGCAAAAGGTACAGTTTATTGTTGATAAATCTGTCATTGAGGCCTAAGTAAGCATGATAGGGTTGTTGTCTTTTATTTTGTTTTGTTTTGTTTTTAATTAAATTTTTCTCAGACTTCACTTAAAACCTAGCACATAGAGTGAACTTGGGATTGGGAAACCTGAGTTTGAATCCTGTCCCTGACACAAGCTGACTGCTCATGGTCACGTATAGATGGTGCAGTGCCTAGAGTGATAGAGTTGGAGTCAGGAGGACCTGAATTCAAATTCTGCCTCAGACATCGCGTGTCTATGTGACCTTGGGAATGGCAACCTCTCAGCCTCAGTTTCCTTGTCCGCAAAACAGGGAAAAAATAATGTGTACTTTACAGGGTTGTTTTGAGGATCGAATAAAAAAATATATAAAGAGCTTTGCAAACCTTAAAGTATTATATAAATGCTGTTGTTGTTTTTATTATATGGTTATGATTAGACTCACTTTTTAATAGCCAAAAACTCTAGGTTTTAGACACACTGCCTTTGCTTCACCTCCCAATTCAGACCTTGTCTGATGTACCCTTCTGAGAACCCTTGAATGTCCTTTGTGTGAAGTAAAGCCCTTGGGCATGTCTGAGAATTGAACTGGGGATATGTTAAATCCTCCAGGCCTTTCTAGTTCTCAGAATAGCAAAATGCTCAGAGTCCTTTAGGGTTGTGTTTATATTGTGTAAATTGAGACAAATGGCCCCTGGGATTACTGTTCCTGTTATGGGCCGCACTAGTCTGAAATTTCTTGGGGTTGCTAAAATATCATTCTATCCTATTGAAATATTAGTGAACAAGCTTAATCACATGCCTACGTTCTGGGAAGTATCAAATTTGAGATGGATAAAAGCAGGAAGCATAGTGGAATGAAGGCCATTGCCCCAGCCAAGGAGTTTTCCTTTGTTGGTGACTTTCTGTTTGTTTCTCTCTATTCTGTTCTTCCTAGTGCTTTCTCAGAGGCTGGATAATTGAAAGAAGGTGCAGTGGGGACGGCAAAAGCGTTAGTGCTGAAATATACCCCTGTTGGTGGTTCATGGTGCATCCTCCCTGGAATGTCTTCTCTAGCTAAAGAGTGCAATTTCTCCTCCCATATGATATTTAGAAAGGGAGACTCTCAAAATATGGTTTTTCCTCCTTTTAGTGGTTCTCCTGAAGTATATTGTCTTTTGGGTTCCAGCAGATAAATTCCACTCCTTTGTACCAGTGACTGGTGGGATACCCTGGTTGGATATTTCCTGCCCTTAGCAAGTGCCCCCCACGTTAAGGGCAAATAAGTCCTAGGAATTGGTAAACCCTAGTTTGTGTACTCCAGAGAAATTACAAACAACAAAAACAAAAATAAACTGTGTCCAGGAAGATAGGAAATTTCATAGGATTGTGGAAATCTACAGTTGGGAAGAGACTTGAGTTTGCCAGAGCTGGGGCTGGCCACAGCCAACATGCTAAAAACCCACTGTCAGCATTCTAGGGGAAACCCTTGTGTGTGCACAACTAAACAAGCCTAGCTTCTGAGTACCTAGCGTGTGTCCCATTTACACAAATCAGTCACAGTGAAGCCATTAACTCTTAAATATGAAACATTTACTAAAAGGAAAAGCAAGAGCAAGGATAATCAAAGCACAGTCTGTTCCTAAATCTTGAGCCACTCTCTCACCATGCATACAATGTTCATGGAGGGAGAAAAGGTACGATCTTGCAGAAACCTAGCAGTGACGTACATGTGGGTTAGGGAAACTCACAACTCTGCCACACCTGCATGTCTGTGGTTTCTTTAGGGAAGGTCTGTACCAGGCATCACTTGCTGGACAAGACTGCTATAATGAACGTAGTTAAAGAATTAGATAATGAATTTAGGTAAAATGCCCACCCTGAGTGTTCATAGCAGCATCTGAGCGAACATGTTATTGTTTAGTCATTTTCAGTTGTGTCCAACTCTTCATGGCCCCTTTTGGGATTGTCTTGGCAAAGGTAATGGAGCGGTTTACTATTTCCTTCTCCAGCTCATTTTACAGATGAGGAAACTGAGGCAAACAGGGTAAAGTGACTTGCCCAGGGTCACACAGCTAATATCTGAGGCAAGATTTGAACTCAGCAAGATGAGTCTTTCTGACTTAAGGCCAGACACTCTCTACCCACTGCACTGCCTAGCTGCCCCTGATCAAACAGAGCCCTCTTTGAAGAAAAGGAATCACAGGACTTTAATCTGAAGTGGGGTTAGGGAGAGAAAGACAGTTCAGAAGCTGTAACCAGTTACTGATGCTAGGCTTGGAAGGGCTGGCAGCAGAATCCTGGGTCGGGAGAAGGCAGGAGGCAGGGATAAGATCCTGTGACATGGTCATTCAGGCAGATGTGCTCCTGAGTCAGTGTACTTGTTTCTGTTAGCCATCTGGGCTGTAAAGACAAAACCGTCACAGTCCCGTAACCTTACAGTGCCCTGGGTCAGTGTTATCACACTCAGATACAAACTGACACCTGTGGGCAGCAAATTGACCTAGAAAACCATAAATTAACATCATCCATGTTGTATAGTATTTTATTATTTTTGTTACATATTTCCCATTTTCATGTGAATCAGGTTCAGGCTGTTCTGGGGGGTGTTGTAGCTGCATTTGGGCCGGCTTGCACCTGACACCTCTGCCCTAGGCATCTCTCTAAAACTATAAGGGGCTGTAGTTACTGAAAAACAAAAGGCATAGCAGAATGGGAAGTACATTTGTTGACTGATTCTGTCCTTTTTTGGGGTACCTTACAGAACTGTATGGGGAAAAAAGTATATGTGCAGCTAGATGGCAAAATGGATAGAGTGTTGGGCCTGGAGTCAGGAAGGCTCATCTTCCTGAGATCAAATCTGGCCTCAGACACTCACTAGCTGTGTGACCCTGGGCAAGTCACTTAATCCTATTTGCCTCAGTTTCTTCATCTGTAAAATGAGCTGGAGAAGAAAATGCCAAACCACTCCAGTGTCTTCGCCAAGAACACCCCAAATGGGGTCAACAATTAAAATGACTGAACGACAACACGTATAATTACATACACTTAGAAATACTTCTCTCACATATAGGATAGCTTTGAATACTTTTTTTTAAAAGCCAAGCCGTACATGATAGACATTCATGCTTTCATACATAATATTTTTTGTATTATGTTTCGTATAAGGAAATTTTTATGAAGTTAAAAACAAATCTTTTTTTGAGAAATGCTCTGTCTTGTAAACATACTGTACGTTTTTAAAATTCCTCCTTCCGTGGGAAGCCTTCCCCAACCTCTTAATTCCAATGCCTTCCCTCAGTTAATCATCTCCTACTTATTCTATATATAACTTGTTTTGTATATATTTGTTAGCAAATTTTCCCCATTAGATGGTAAGCTCCATGAGGGCAGGGACTGTCTTCCTTCTTTTCATATTCCCAGTGCTTAGCACAGTGGCCGGCACAGAGTAAATGTTTAATAAATGTTAATTGGTTGATTTTTTAAAAAAATAAATACAAGTACATTTTCATTGTGATTGTGCAGAGTATTTACCTATAGCCTTCTCATTCATTGTAATTTTCTAGTTTCCCCTTGCATATCTTTGCAGTGAGCTTATTTTTGTGCTTTTTCTCAAATTCATTCAGTACTGTTGTAAATTTTTCAAGGCAATCTAGTTCGGGCTGAGGCGATTTGCTCTCTTTAAAACCTCTGTCTCTTTTATTATTCAAGCAACTCATATCTGCTGCACAACTACGTCTGAACTATCTACAAATCCTTGGAGAACTGAAAACATATGGCGGGAAAATCTTTAATGCCACATTAATGGTATGTATCAGCTGGAAGTCACAATTCATTTTTGGCCTACGTAATTTCATGTAATTTACGTAGATAATTATATCTTAGGCCAGATAATGCAGTGGCATTAAGCATTCAATAAAAGAGAGAAATGGAGAAGTTAACCTGAGTCATCAAACTATTATGCTTCGTTCTGTTAACGAAAATGGACATATTGTAAAGTTCACTGGATCCTAGGTTTAGGGTTGGAAGGGGATTCAGAGGTCATCGAGTTCAACCTCATTTTTTACAGCTAAGAAAATTGAAGCCCAAGAAGGTGAAACGATTGTCTTACGTCACAGAAGTTTATGGACTCCCTGGTCTTCTGACTCCACTATTCCCATTGCACCATGCTGCCCTGTTACAAATGCAGCAGAAGAAAGAGGAAAAGCTCATCTGTTTGCCATCCATGCATATTTATTTAGCCTTTCTCATTTGTTCCTTCTTCCAGATTTTTTTAGAGGTAGCTAGGTAGTGCAATGGATAGAGTGCTGGGTCTGGAGTAAGAAAGACCTGAGCTGATATCTAGCCTCAGATGCTTACTAGCTATGTGACCCTAAACAAGCCATTTAACCTCTCTCTGCCTCAGTTTTTGCAACTGTGAAATGGAGATAACAGTAGCACCTACCTCCCAGTGTTATTTGGGCAGTTAGGTGGTACAGTGGGTAGAGCACCAGGCCTGGAGTTAGAAAGAGTCATCTTCCTGAATTTAAATCTGGCCTGAGACACTTACTAGCCATGTGACCCTGGGCAAGTCACTTCCCCCTATTTGCCTCAGTTTCTTCATCTGTAAAATGAGTTGGAGAAGGAAATGCCAAACTACTCCAGTATCTTTGCCAAGAAAATCCCCAAATGGGGTCATGAAGAGTTGGACAAGACTGAAACAACTGAAGAATAATATAACCTAGGGTTATTGTGAGGACCATATGAGACAGTATTTGGAGTTTTTTGTTATTTTTAATGTGAAAACTATTATTGAAGATATGAGAGTACTCTCATAGAAGTAAAAGTGATATCTCATATAAAATAAGTAATATTTTAAAAGTTAATGAAATCATGCAGAACAAATTTACAATTTAGCCATGCTCCAGAAAAGGAAATGAGACAATATTTGTAAAAAAAAAAAAGCCCTTAGCACAGTGCCTGGTAGATAGCAGGTGCTTAATAAAGGCATACTGCCTTTCAGTAGTGTTCGTTCAGGTTTTTGTTTCCATACAGGCAGAAGATCAGCTCAGCCACTCCAGGGCAAGTGTTCTTTCCAGTTCCCCGGGGGTGTAACCTCTTCCCTAAGGTACAGAATGGTTTGATGACCAAAATGATGAGAACCTTTTGTATCATTTCTGCTCCCAGCTCTGTCCAGTCTGCCCCTGGGGAATCAACCACACAATTATAACATCATTATAGACAATAATGGTTTGCATGATCACAGCAGTACCAGCAAAACACATGTTTGTTTTCCCTCTTTTACTCTGTTCTGGAAAGCAAAAACAAAGTTAAAATGGCCAGAATTACCCTGTAACTTCGTTTGTGAGAACACCATATACAAACATTTTGGATAACGTATGTTATTTTTACACTGTGTGAAAACATAATCATAGAATGTTAGGGTTCAGAGGGACCTTAGAGATTATATATTTTAAGGACTTGCTATTTGCTGGGGGTCTTGAGGTTGCTTGTGTTTTTGGTTTTTTTTTAAAGCCATCGTGGGAGAAATAGTCTGTCTTTGGTGACAGACCCACATGAATTTCAGTATGGTTTAGGGTTTTACTGAATATTCTTTGGTATTGTTCCGGGCTTTTTACTCACGCGAGGAAGCTACTTCTCTTCCATTTAGTTTCTGGAGAACAAGGATATCTAAGCTTACAGTGAATAAGGAATTAGAGGCTACTTTTCAAACCAAGTGTTTCCATGTTTGAAGGGACTCAACTTTCCTCATCCGTGAAATGAGGTTGCTGGACAAAGAGCAAAGACTGTTAACCTTTTTGTGTAATGGACCCCCTTGGCAATCTGGTGAAACATAGGGACTCCTTAGCAGAATAATCTTTTTTAAATGTATAAAATAAAATACATAGGGTTACAAAGGAACCCAATTATATTGAAACATAGTTATAAAAAAAATTTTTTTATAAGTTCACAGAAGGGCAGGTAGGTGGTACAGTGAACAGAGCAACAGCCTGAATCAGACACTAACTAGTGTGTGACCTTGGGCAAGTCACTTAATCCCAATTGCCTACACACACACACACACACACACACACTCAAGTTCACAGATCCCAGGCCCTGGACTAGATAATCTCAAAAGGTCCCTTCCCACCATAACATTCTATGTCTATAATTCAGTCTTAATCTTCCATGATTTCCAGCCAATGATGAGCCAGTTAGTCAAGAGCCAGAGTCAGGAAGTTCGTGGGTTCTACTCTTGCCTTTGATACCTCCTGGTAATCTGAGCCTGAGCAAATTATTTAGCTTCTTGGCATGCCCAGGCAACTCCTTAAGATAATAAAATTACTGAGCAGGTAGCAATCTGCACTGGTAGAGGGAGTTTTCTCACCAGGAGTGCCCTCCACCAGATGTGGTTCCCTATGACCCCTCAGTATTATCATCTGTCCCTCCTCTCTCCCTGACCAAAAAGAAAATAATCAGGCCAGTTGTGCATAGGCTGTAAAATACCATTTTATTGTGTGGTGTGCTTTAATCTAGAGTCGAAGCCAGATGACAAGTATGCAGAGTAAAATTTCATTATGGCTTGGTTAGTCGTAGGGATAGGAACCCAGGGCATGATGTGGTGTGGTTTGCTTGGTCCTTTAAGTTGTGAGTTGCTGGCTAAGCTACAGATTACTGAAAACAGCACATGAAAACAGTTTAATGCTGTAATCAAATAAAACATACAACAGTTTATCTAATACATTTAATGCTGTGCATAATCATTTTTCTCTGCCACAGTAATTGGACATAAATTGGAAGCTATTCATATAAATAACTCCAATTAGTATTACTTTTGAACTGATAAACGAAGCATTTCTGGGGTCACTTGTGTAGAAGTGATTTCGTAGAGCAGGAAGATGTTCTGAAGGGCTCCCCGAATCCAGAACATCATAGCCAGCCCTTCCTGATTCTCCATCTAGTTAAAGCACGGGCATGGAACAGGGAAGGACAGTTTGTGACTGCGCTAGAAGAAGGATCTAGAGAAGTAACTAGGCTCCACCTTCCCTACCGACTTCCTGTGGGGGTTAGTTTAATCAGGTTGCTTTCTTCATACCTCGGGGAGATAGAAGGAGAGAAGGGAATTTTTGATGGCGTGGAAGAGAAGGAACAAGAAGCTGCCCTGGAGCAGGAGAACCCTGAATGGGGAAATTTGGAATTAGCTTGAGAGGGGAAGGATGGAGGAGTGAAGGGACATCGGGAGGTGGAAGAGTAATAGGAGTACATAAGGACAGCCACCAAAACACACGTTTCACCTGCTTTCTGGTCCCTGGCCTCTCCCTTCTTCCCATCAGCCCCCAGTTCCCCAGTCTCTTGGAGTGTCAAGGCAAAAGCTGAGGGGGGAGGGGTTGGAAAGGACAAGATAACCCCAGCTAACAGATTCTGTACCGATTCAGAGCGCAGCTAGATGGTGCAGTGGTTAGACCTAGAGTCAAGAAGCCCTGAATTCAATTTTGACCTCAGACACTCTCTGTGTGACCCTGGGCAAGTCACTTAACCTCGGTTTGCCTCAGTTTCCTCTGTAAAATGAGGATAATCCACATCCCAGGGTTGTCGTCGGGATCAAATGAGATACTTGTAAAGCACTTTGCACAGTGCCTGGCATCTAGTAGGTGCTATATACATGTGAGGTATTATTATTATCATCGTAGAAACCTTTGCCGGTCTCAGTACTAGCTATGAAATAAGTATGTATAGGGGTGTTTTATGTCCTGTTTGCTCAGCAAGAGCCGATGTTCCTGAATCTCCCCTTTACTTCTGTTCCTTTTAATTGTTGTTGTCTAGGTCTCTATAATTAGGGGAAGTAAGCCTGGAGTCAGGAAGACTCATCTTCCTGAGTGCAAATCTGGCCCCAAACACTTAACTCGCTGTGTGACCCTGGGCAAGTCACTTAGCCCCGTTTGCCTCGGTTTCCTCATCTATAAGATGAGCTGGAGAAGGAAATAGCAAACTACTCCAGTATCCTTGCCAAGAAACCCCCAAATGGGGACACAGAGTTAGACACAACTGAACAACAATAACACAAAGGTGTCTACATTGGACTCACCAAGGTTCCCTTATGCATTTTCTATTAAAATATATGCTGTGAAAGGTGCCATGGAAACATGACTAGCTAGGTCATCGTGGGTATCTTTTAGTGGGAAGAAGCACAAGCATCACCTTATTCCTAAAACAGCCAGTCCCTGCCCTCGGGTTAACAGAAATCAAGCAGCCTTCTTATCAATAGTAACCAAACAACGTTCTCATCAGCAAAAAATACTACGAAACAGCTCAAGTGACATTTTGACAATTAGATGGATGAAGAATGTTTTATTAAGTAAAAGTAAATTGCCTTCCTTCCTCTCTTGACCTGAATGTGGACACAGGAGAAAGGTGACTCCTCATTCTCCTATTCTCTTATAGTTACAGGACAGAGAATCATACATCGCCCTTCTAGTTGGAGCCAAGTATGGAATCAGCCAGATTATTAACAGTAAACTCAACATTATGTCAACACTGGCAGAGTTTGCAAATATTAGCCGAGTAGAGCTGATGGAAGAGTCGGAGAAAGTGAGCATGGTCAAAATTTATCTTCAGGATGTCAAGGTAACTAAGGTTAGCAACTCTGCATATCAAAGTTCCAAAACTTGTCCCCATAAGTTTTCTGTGGAGAAGAGAGATATTATGGCTTTAAGATTAAAAAGTAATTTGTAGGGGCAGCTAGGTGGCGCAGTGGATGGAGCACCGGCCCTGATGTCAGGAGGACCTGAGTTCAAATGTGACCTCAGACATATGATACTCGCTAGCTGTGTGACCCTGGGCAAGTCACTTAACCCCAATTGCCTCCAAAAAAAAAGTAATTTATACAAAAATAAAATAAAAGATGAAGCATCTGTGCCCAAGAAAATGTTGACCACTTTGTCACAATGCTGACTGTCTATCACATTGACCACTAGTCACAATGCTGACTGTGTCTATCACAACAGTCTACCAACCCCTGAGAAGGTTCAGAAATGTTTCCATTGCCCGAAACAAAAATATTATAGTGGGAAAATAAACTGTTGGGGAAATTGCCATATGGCTGTAAAGACTACATTGAGGAGCAGGAGATTATATCATATATACATGGAGTCAGATCACTTGCTCAAGAGGCTGGATTGGGGATGTTATAGGAACTGAAATTGGGAGATTAATTTGGAATGCTATCCTGCCACTATTTCAGAAATCCTAAATCTAGCCTGGCACATAGTAGGTGGTATGTGAATGCTTATCCCCTTCCCTTCTCCCTCTTCTCACTCCATTGTCTTTTCTGAGTCAGCAGTTCAAGGGAAACGGTGCAGTGAGAAGTTAGGGAGCGTTAGGGTCAGTGGTTATGTTGGAAAGGGGCTATTCCTTTGAAGTATTTGTGTTAAAGAAGGAGATTGACCTTGAGGGAGGCAAGAGGGAAAACTTTGCCATTCTCTTTCCCCTGCCCCGCCACCTCCACCACAAGTGCCCTTACATGTCCATCCATTTCATACCAATATGGCAGTGGATGATGGACTGTATTGGCCTTGCCAGTCTCTGGGTCAGATGCAGGCATCATCATTATCTTCTGAAAATTCTCATCCTCATACAAATATTAGATCTTGTTTTACCTTTGAAGCTTCTCACTCTGTTGCTGGAATCTAATAGTGCTAAAGACCTTGCCTGCCTCATTGCTGGCTACTACAGACTGTTTGTTGACTCAACTGCCTCCATATTCCTCTGGGGTAGAAATAAACAAGTTCATCGGATTTCTGCTGAAGAAGGTAAGACTCTGGGCCACTCAGAAGGGTCACAACAACAGGCTTGTTTTTCTGGCCTCAGAGAATCATGATTCAAAATGAGATGCTGAATTCCTCTTAGGGGACAGCACTGTATTCAAAATATGCCCCCTATGAAGGGTGACTATCTCCTGTTTAAGGATAAGTTAGGGAAGACAAGATTTTCCTTTCAACCAAGCAACCAACAAGCATTTATTGAGTGCTACTGTGTGCTAGGTGCTGGTGCTAGAGAGTGCTGGTGATAGAGAGAGAGAAAAGCAAAACAGCTCCTACCTTCGAGGATCTTATCTATACATAGACAGGCACATATAAAACAGTTGCAAGGTGATCTTGGGGTAGAGAAGGCTCTAGCACCTGTGGGAATCAGGAGAGGCATCATGCAGACAGGATGTTTGAGTTAGATCTTGAAAGTAGGCAGGAGTTCCCAGAGACAGGTGAGGAAGGAATGTACTCCAGGCAGGGCAGCTCGGTGGCACGGTGGATGGAGCACTGGGCCTAGAGTCAGGAAGATCCAAGTTCAAATCTGATCTCAGATAGTTGTTAACTATATGACCCTGGGCAAGTCACTTAACCTTGTTTCCCTCAGTTTCCTCATCTGTAGAATAAGCTAGAGAAGGAAACAGCAAACCACTCCAGTATTTTTGCCAAGAAAACCACTAATGGGGTCATGAAAAGTTAGACACGACTGAAGCAACTGAATTACAGGCATTCTAGCGCAAAGACACGAAGATAGGAAATTGAGGTGCATGTGTAAGGAAGAAAGAAGGCTAGTTTGGTTAGACCTTAACATGTACAAAGAAAAGTAACTAATATAGCTGGAAAGGTAGGTTGAGACCAGGTTGTAAAGGATTTTAAAAACCAAAATAGTTTATGATTTATTGGAGTTCATTGAGTAGGGAAGGATCAGACCTGCACTTAAGGAAAATAATTTGAGGGCCGCTAGGTGGCGCAGTGGATAGAGCACCAGCCCTGAAATCGGGAGGACCTGAGTTCAGATCCAGCCTCAGACCAAACACTTGACACTTACTAGTTGTGTGACCCTGGGCAAGTCACTTAACCCCAACTGCCTAATTAAAAAAAAAAAGGAAAATAACTTTGGTAGGTATATGGCAGGATATGAAATGGAGGGAAGGAGAGACTTGAGGCAGGGACACATGTGGGGAGGCCATTGCAACAGTCCAGGCAAAAGGTGATGAAAAACGGAACAAAGGTGTTAGGAACAGCAAAAAGGCCAGTTTGACTGAATTATACAGTGTGTGGAAGGAAGTAATAATGCTAGAAAGATAGCATAGGGCTATCTAAGACACCTCCAAAGGTCTCATGATGGAAAATGCTGTCCACATCCAAAGAAAGAACTTTGGAGTTTGAATGCAGATTGAAGCATACTTTTGCTATTTTTTTCTTCTGTTTTGTTTTGTTTCCTCTTTCTGGTGGTTCTTCCTATTGGTTCTAATTCTTCCTTACAACATGACTAATGTGAAAATATGTTTAATAGGAATGCATATGTATAGCCTATATCAGATTGCAATCTGTCTTAGGGAGGGAGGTGAGGAGGGAGGGGAAAAAAAATTTAAAGCTCAAAAGCTTATGGAAGTGATTGTTGATAAATCAAAATAAATTAATAAAAAATGTTTAAATAAATCCTAACCCTTTTAAAATATAAATAAAAAGATAGCATAGGGCTAAGTTGTGATGAGCTTTAAATGAAAAACAAAGGAGTTTATAGTTGATCCCTCAAAGTAGTAAATAGGCATCTACTGGAGTTGAATGAGTAGGGGGTTGACACAGTCAGAACTACACTTTAGGAAAATCACTCAGTAGCTGAGTGAAGGGCCCATCAAAATGGGGAAGATCTGAAACAGGGTGACCAACCAGAAGGCAATTACAACAGTCTAGGTGAGGCAATGATGGCATGAGTTGACTGCCTGATGGGGGCAGTGACTCTGTGAATGGAAAGAAGGCAGTGGACACCAAGAAATGTGCCAGAGACAGAAATAACAAGATTTGGAAACTACTTCCATATGTGGGGTAACCAAGAATGAGCAGTCACAGATGACACCAAGGTCACAAACCTTCAGTGACTGGAAAGGTAGTGAGGCCTTTGACCAAAACAGGGAAGTTTTTCCAGTATAGCTGGGGTTAGTCACATAAGACTTAATCTGCTTCAGAATTCCCATTTAACCACTGGACCCTTGGAGTAGAGACAAAGGGGGAATTCTGGGAGAAGGGGTCTGAGCCTGTGATTTCATCAAGGGAGGTAATATCCCAGTATGGAAACTCCCTCCATTAATACAAATTGGCAACTCATTGGCTCTAAAACATTAACTTGACCATGGTAAAATAACCGATAATAATTAATAGCCAGCATTTAACTCGTGCTTTAAGGTCTGTACTTTACATATGTAAGAGTCCAAGGAAAGGGACAGCTAGGTGGCGCAGTGGGTAGAGCACTGGCCCTGGATTCAGGAGGACCTGAGTTCAAATCCAGCCTCAGGCACATAACACTTACTAGCTGTGTGACCCTGGGCAAGTCACTTAACCCCATTGCCTAGCCAGAAAAAAAAAAGTCTGAGGAAGGATTCAGACTCCTGTCTTCCTAACTCCAAGTCTAGCATCTTACCCACTGTAGCACTCAGATGCCTGTGTCAGATAGCGAGGAGACTTGAAGCCAGGTTTATCTAACTCCAGCATTGACTTTTCATCTATTAAATCTGGCCCAAGACAAACTGTAGTGTGGACAAGTTTATCTGGGTACTCTCTTTCCCTCTCTTCCCCCTGTTCCCCCACACCCAGAGAGAAGGCTTTCTCATTGTTCTCTGGGAAAAGATCATATAATAGTTATTTACACCTTAGTTTAAATTTTAAATAATGTACTGCACCCCCCCAAAAAAAAAGCACTTTGATTTGAAGCCATATCTCTTATTGTAGAATAAAAGGCTTTGCCTCCTGGAATTTTAGGTAAGGCAAATCAAAAAGATATTTGGGAGGTCAGAGGAGCTCTACCTGGCACCCCTTGAATCCCATCACCTACCTAGGCTGGCCTTGAGTTGGATACTGCCAAATAGGTGACTAGAAGACTGGACTTGTGACTCAGGAAGACCTGAGTTCAAATCCTGTCACAGATACTTATTAGCTCTAGGCAAGTCACTTAACCTCTCTTGATAATAATAGGACTTATCTCCCAGGGTTGTTGCGAGGATTAAATGAGATAATGCAGGTAAAACATTTTGCAAATCTCAAAAGCACTATGAAATGCCACTGTTTTTCTGTACTCTCTACTGAAGGGTAAGTTGGGGACTTTCAGGGGTTCTGTGAACTTGGATAGGGAAAAAAAATAAAAAATTATTTTCACTAAACCTCTATGTGACATGACTATTTCCTTCAATTATTTCAAAACATGATTCTGAGAAGGGATCCGCAGGCTTCACCAGACTACCAGAAGGGTGCATAACACAAACAAGGTTAAGAACCAGTGTTGTACCTCTCTCTTGCAGGTTACGAATCCAGAGCCTGCAGTGACTCAGAGGAATCATCGGAAGTTGATTCTTCCCTGGAGTTCCTTTCAGACAGGCATCCGGTGAAATTTGACCACATAACACCCCTCTGTGAAGAAGAAGAACAGGAAATGCTCAGTGAGCAGAAGGATGAGAGCACCATCCCAACAGAGGCTGAGAAAAGCACATGCAACGGAGTTATCAGCATCACTGACAACACCTCTGACGGCTCTGATTCGGCGAACACGGAGAGCCGGGGCTGCAAAACCAGTGGCTCTAGTGATTCAATGGATGCCCTGGAAGAGGATGATTTGGATGCCTGCTCCTCCAGCAGGCCTGAGTTTTTCCATTTCCACACACCCAACTTTAAAGAAAGTTTGGAGAAAAACAATTTGCCTCCTTCTCTGGGCATCAAGGAGGAAAGGGGCCAAATTGAAACCAATGGCTTCCTTTGCCTCCTAGAGTTATCCCAGAGTGCCAACACCGCACTCCAAAAGACTGAGCTCTCCAACTATCCGAGCGACCTTAAATCTAGCCCGGGAATGAGCTGAATGCATCCACAGTGGACCCCAGGTTGTATGATAGCAGCAGCATGGAATACTATAGTCTGTGTTCAAATGTTTCTCCTGCCAGCATTCTCAGCAACAGCTCTGAGAACAGTTCTAGAAATGGTCCATCTCGGCCAGTTCAGGAGGGGAAAGTCTGGAAAGCTGTTTCATCCCCAGTGGTAGAATCCTTTCTTTTAAATCCTTCTCCAAGTTTTGAAGACACCAGCTCAGATGATGAATTTTATGATGCAGCTGATAAGCTGACACCCTCAGATTCCCTCTCAGGTGAGCTCACAGAAGGTTGTATTTGTCATCATTGATCTGGAAGGAGTATTGAACAGTGCCATGAGCCCAGGAGGTACTTACTAATTAGTAATGGTACCACAAGGCTTAGGGGTGCTCTAGGGTCTCTTAGTGGAGAAAGTTGGGAGCTTTATGAATGTATTTTGCCAGATCCTGTATCTCTTTGCCCATAACTCCCTTCTACCCTAAGCCTAACCCTAACCCTAATTACGCTCTAACCCTGACCCTAACCCTAACCCTAACTCTAACCCAACGCTCCTTAGGTAGGGCTCACTGCAGCTGTTGCTTCTGGTGAGCTCGGGCCTCCCATGCACAGAAGACTGGCTTCCTGAGGAAGGGGGAGTCGTGAGTGGGGCTGAGGAGAGATATATACATATACATATACACATACACTACATATACCCAAGTGATCTAAAGATTCATCCAGAATGTTCACATACACACACACTAAATTGTTATGTTAAATAAATTTAATTTAAATAAATATAATTATTAAATAATACAATTAAGTAAATTAAGAATTAAAGTTTAAAATAGTATGTGAATGTAAAATACAAAAACTTGTTAAAAATTAAAGATGTACATGGAGGGAAAAAAATCATCCTTTAAAGAGGTTGGAACTTTACATAGCTAGAGAAGGCAGAGATCAGCTATAAACAAGTTAAGTGATCTGATGCTGCCATACAAACAGACTTACTGAGAATGACCAAAAATCTTATCTGTAGTGCTGAGACTACAGATTTATTGTAACCATTGTTGTTCTGGTACATCATGTGTGATATGTACCTTTGTCTTGTATTTTTCTTCCTTTCTTTATATCTAGATCATAGCATGGTCCCTACTGAAGAATGGAGTGATCTGGGGTCTAAATTTAAAAAAAGAGAGAGCTCAGAAGAAGGCCTGACACCCAGACCACATAAAAGAGAGCATAACAGAAGAGTGGGGGTGAAGAAATATGCAAAGACTTTGAGAAAAAGAAGGTCTTTCTTACAAACTGACTATACATCTCAGGTTACCTTTCCTTTGGCTCCATCATATTCTCTGGAAAGTGTAGACCATGTGTGCTACTATGAAAGGGAGCCCTACCTTTCCTTTGTCTCTCACTCACCAACGGTGTCATCATTACAAGACATGCAAGGAGAGCCCGGTCTTCTCGAAACCAAGGCCCTTGGACTACTGACTCCTCCAAGGGAAGCCAAGAGTAAAAACCACTCCTCAAATTTAATGGAAATGGAACCTGAAACAATGGAAACCAAATCAGTCATTGATTCCTTTGTTTCTTCCATTTCAGCAGTTCGTCTCAGGATTGACCCAGAAAATAAAGAAAATTCTAGTGTTGCCTCTCTGACCATGACCAGCACTCCAAGCAGTGTCCCTCATCATCTGTCTTCAGGTTTGTTTGAACAAAATGACCAGTCAGATCCTTCTGAAAAAGTCTTTCAACTTCAAGGTGGAAATGTCAGGGTTTGCAAAGACCAAATGGCAGAGACTCAGGACTGCCCCTCCGACTCCTATAATATCCCTCCAGGAACCAAAGACAGTTTGACAGTCAGCCCAGAACAACAGGAAGTAATAGAAGGAATCCCAGGGGTCAATACAAAGCCACAATTTGAAATAGGATTCAGGCATTTGTTTGAAAACCCAATACAGGAAACAATCCAAAAATGCTTAGACCCTTTGTTTTCTTCAGGGGACCAATCCAGAAATAGTGAATGCGTTAAAAATTCAGGAGGGGAGGTGCCTTTTTCTGCTGTCAAAGACCAAGAAGGGGAGCGACTCATGCAGCCTTCTTTGGGAGGCGGCAAAGAGGCAGGTTTTTCTATTTGTGACATCAACCACAACGGTGGTATTTTATTTCAGGAGGAACCTAGGAAAGATGTGGATGAGGGCCTGATTGATGATACAAGTAAAAAGTCCTTAGCTAATGCTAGTCTGCCTTTTGAGAACAACGATCTATCTGGTGAAATAGCCTCTCTCTCCAAGTGGCAGACACTTGGAACGAAGACTCATCAGGCACCACTATGGCATATGCAAGAAGAAGGCAGAGAAACAGCCCTCCTGGTTAGTATAGGCCAAACCTGCCTCCCTCGAGAGCAGGAGTTGTTATTGTCAGAGAAGCATTTAGACCCTGATGCCTTTATCGGGCTCGCCCATCCCATCAGGCTTGCAGACATGTCTTGAAGGGAGTTCTGTACCCCAACACCTTGACGATGAAATGAGAGGAAAGGCGCCCCCTAGTGTCCCTCTTCCCCCTGTGGATTTTAACCAGGGGCAAACCCCGCAGAATCCACCTTCACGTCACCTGGGAGATGCTTTCAGGCAGGGAACAGAGTACAACCTAAAGAAACTGAAGTGTCCCAACCATTTTCCCTCTGTGTGTGGTGATATCTTAGAAATGGAAAAGGAAAGCCTCAGTATTGTGCCTCCTTCTTCAAAGAAGCCTCTCCTCTGTTTTGTTCATAAAAACAATCCCTATGCTTCCACGAATCACAGGTCACATCATTCTTTGGATTTTGCAGGGATGAAAGACGTGATCTTACCCAAAATCGGGATGGAACAGTGCAGCTGTCAGTTATCCTACGCCACGTGTTTTCGTGGCTCGGACCCCGAGGTCGATGAGGAGAAGTCTGATTTGGAAACGACCCTCTCCTCAGCCCCACTCACGACCCCCCCCTCCTCAGGAAGCCAGTCTTCTGTGCGTGGGAGACCCGAGCTCACCAGGAGCAACAGCTGCAGTGAGCCCCACCTAAGGAATAACTGCCTCTGGTCCGAGTACTGCGCCAAAATCGCAAAGCAGTTGAAAGCTGGACTGTGCAAATCCCCAGATGGCTTTTGCCAGCTCCTGGATCACGTGGTGGAATTACAGGATCTTTTAGAACAGTCTGGGGGAAATGGTAACAAACACCCACAAGACAAATGTGCCTGGTACTTTTCTGAAAACAGGAATAGTCTCTGCGCAGGATCCCAGAAGCTCATGTCCAGCTGTCAGCATGTGATTAAAATCGACCAGTCCCCTGAAGAAATGCAGAGTGCCGTGCAAGAAACTTTCCGAAACCTCATCCAGCTGATGGCCTTGTGCTTGCAGTTTACGAACTGTGGCCGCTGCGTGAGGACGCACAGAGATGTAATGGTGAACCTCAGAGACGTTGTTTGTGCCTACTATCAGTTTGTGCAGGCGGCAAAGCTGACCTGTGAGAGAGGCTATCGAGATTTAAGTGTGAAATTATTAGCGCGCCAGTGCACGGCCCTCACCGCAGCTGTATTCTGTCTCACCCAGAAGTTCCGGGCATCCATGGCGCTATGAACATCATCCCGCTAGCCCAGTGACTCCTGACCCACCTACGTGGGAATGTCCCTAAGAAACAACCCACAAGCATTTACTGTTTAGAGAGTTATCAAAATAAATGCCTTGATGTTTAATGGTAGTCTGAATCATGTGTCACAAGGTGTGGATCACAAGAGAACCACAGGCCACATCCTGTTGTTGGGGATGGAGGAGGGGAAGAGGGAGATGTGGTATTTTTCATGTTTGGAGGGAGGCAGCCAGGATATGGGAATGGGGGAGTTGAAGAGGGAGACATTTTCCAGATAAGTACTAGACTCTCCCAAAAAAAGTAAAAGAGAAATTTCAAGACTTAGTCATTTAACATCTCTGTGCCTCAGTCTTTTCATCTATAAAATAAGATTGGACTAGGTGACCTCTGCTAAGTCTAAACTTTTATGATCTTATATATAGAATCATTCCTATCACAATTTTTAAAAGCCCATTTAAAAGTCCATTCCTTTTAAAAAGGCACATATTGGACATCTGCCCTTGTTTAATCTAGAGCTAAGTACCATGTTATTTGCATTATTTCTCCCCCTCCAACCCCCCCCCCAAAAACCCCCAAAAAATACCTTTAAGCATATATTGACTACTGAAAGGGGGAGAAAGCATTTAGGCAAATTGTTGTAGCAACAGAAGACTCAAGAGGCACTTTTAGCCTGCAGCATGATTCTTCTACCCTTAGCACAGCCTGTGAGCAAAAAGAACAGGTATTTTTTTAAAGGTATGCATAGTGGTTAAGCATTTTTCCTTTTATTTTTAGTAAACTGGTAGCTCATCCTTCATTAACTTTCTTGTTGCTACTGTGAAACACTAGCACCTTCAACTCCTGTTGAAGGAGCCTGCCCAAAGAGAAGTAACAACAAATAACACAGATCTTAAAAACCATGTATTTGCTCCTAAAAATTGATGGGAGTGCAGGGAGAAAGCACA